CTGTTTTTATGCCAGTACCATGCAGTTTTTGTTACTACAGTTCGGCAGTATAATTTAGAGTCAGGTATTGTGATGCCTCCAGCATTGCTTTTTTGGCTTAGAATTGCTTTGGCTATTCTGAGTCTTTTGTTCTTCCAAATGAGTTTTAGGACTGTTTTGTGTAGTACAGTGATGAATGTCATTGGTATTTTGATGGGAATTGCATTGAATCTGTATATTGCTTTTGGTTATATGGGCATTTTAACAGTGTTAATTCTGCCTGTTCATGAACATGAGAGGTCTTCCCATCTTCTAAGATTCTCTTCAATTTCTTTCTTCAGTGTTTTATAATTTTCATTGTAGAAATCTTTTACCTCCTTGATTAGATTTATTCCTAGTTTTTTTTTGGGGGGGCTATCATGAATGGAATTGTTTTCCTGATTTTTTAGCAGATTTATTGTTGGTATATAGGAAAGCTATTGATTTATTTTATTTTATTTTACTTTTTAAAAATTTATTTTACCTTTGTTTTATTTTTTTTTAATGTGGTACCTCAGGGATCGAACCCAGTGCCTCACGTAAGTGCTCTACCACCTGAGCCACAACCCCAGACGCCCCCCAGAAAGCTACTGATTTTTGTATGTTGATTTTGTAACCTGCTTCTTTGCCAGATTTGTTTATTATTTCTAGCAGTCTTTCAGTGGAATATTTTGATCTTCTAGATATAGGATCATATTATATACAAAGAGTGATAATTTGACTTCTTCCTTTCTGATTTTTTAAATACCTTTTTTTTTTTTTTTAATGTGGTGTTAGCAAGCATTCTATCACTGAGCCACAACTCCAGCCCCACTTTCTGATTTTTATACCTTCTCTTGCCTAATTGCTCTGGCTCAAATAAAAAAATTTAAAGTAATACTTAAAAATCAAAATAAAACAAATGGGTCAAATATATTAAATTGACAGCATAACTACACAGATTTTATTTTAAATGTCTTTACAATGTAGTAATTTTTTAAAACATTTTTTATTTTTTAGTTGTAGGTGGACACAATACCTTTATTTTATTTTTATGTGGTGCTGAGGATCAAACCCAGTGCCTCATGCATGCTAGGCGAGCACACTACCACTGAGCCACAAATTTGACCATGCATTCATAGTGGGATATATCCTGGAGACATAGAATATTGTAAAAAATATATATATATATTATTTGGGTTATTTTTTTGTTATGTTGGTAACATTATAGACATTTATATTAACTTCCTATGGCTTTTGTAAAAAATTATCACAAACATGGTGGCTTAAAAGAAAAAAAAAAAAGCAAACATATTCTGTTATAATTCTGGAGTCCAGAAGTCCAAAATCAGTATCATTGGACTGAAATCAAGGTGTTGGCAGGGCTATACTTCCCTGGAGGGTGTAGGGAAAAATCTCTTCCTTCCTTGCCTCTTTTAGTTTCCTTGGCTTGTGATTATATCACTCCAATTTCTGTGTCTGTGACCACATTGACTTTTCTTCTGTGTGTGATTCAAATTTCCTTCTGCCTCCCTCTTACAACGATACATGTGATTACATTTAAGTCCACCTGGATATCTAGAATAATTTCCCCAGTTCAGGTTCTTTAATTACATCACTTATTCTTTTTTTTTTTTCTTTTTCAAAATAAGGTAATGTAGTGTTGGCCAACTCTAAGGATTAGGGTGTGGTTATTTTTTGAGGACCTCTGTCTGAGTTAACTACAGTGTCATTATCTTTCTGAAACTCAAATACAGTATGATGAAACAAATAATTATGTTAATGTCATTAGGAACTAAGACTTAGGGTGTAAGGGAAAACATACATAAATCTAAAATTAAAAACCCTGTAATCCCAAATTTGCAGTGGAAATATCAATATGAATAAGTTTTCTTTAGGAAAAAAAAATCATTAGCCTTGTCTCGCTGAAAATCTAGAGACAATGATCAATCTAGTAGCAATGAATATCCCTAGTACCCAGGTTGTCATCTCTAAACTTTTTCTACTGAAAATGATTAGGGCTTCTTGAAGAGTAGACTGTCCAGATCTGGGCAAAAAAAGTACAAGATGAGCCTGGAATATCTTGTCATGTAAAATGGCAAGGAGACCTGGGGGTGTTGCTCAGTAGTAGAGCACTTGTCTAGAATCCTCAAAGCCCTAGATTTAGTCCCCAGGACTGCGGGGAAGGGATGGTCAAGGAAAATAGCAAAGATTTCATAGCCTACTATGAAGGGGCTCCTTTTCACCAAAGGTGGGATAAATTGAGAATTAATAAAAATAACTACAGTGGTCTCAAGCATGTTTAAATTCTTGAATTCATTCAGATACTTAAAAAAAATTAGTGCTCATTTTGTAGGCTAGCTCATTATTTTGAAAAATGGTTTAAAAAAGGAAAAAAATAAAATAACTTCTATATAAACTATACTTCAGGAAAACTAGTGTTGATGATAATATATTTCTCAAGAAGTATTCTTGAGGGCTGGGGATGTGGCTCAAGCGGAAGCGCGCTCGCCTGGCATGCGTGCGGCCCGGGTTCAATCCTCAGCACTACATATGAACAAAGATGTTGTGTCCACCGAAAACTAAAAAATAAATATTAAAAATTCTCTCTCCCTCTCTCACTCTCTCTTTAAAAAAAAAAAAAAAAGTATTCTTGAAGGGCTGGGGATGTGGCTCAAGCGGCAGCGCGCTTGCCTGGCATGCGCGGGGCCCTGGGTTCGATCCTCAGCACCACATAAAATAAAATAAAGATGTTGTGTCCACCAAAAACTGAAAAATAAATATAAAAAAGAAGTATTCTTGAGAATAATGCTATAATTAGATTTAGTGTTATCAGTCACAAAAAAGAAAAGGTATAAAAAGAAAAACACATCCTTATGTGTTTCCTGATAGAAGTACAGAAAACATCTATTGATATTCTATTGATATTCTTGTCCAAAAAACCTGGATCTGAACAAGTTTCTAGATCTTACTACTGATTTTTTTTGGGTGGGTGGTGGTAACCATTAACACTGAGGAGTTTCAGTTGGCAAAATCCAGACATTGGGAGATTTTACAATAAACTGGTTAGTGTCTTCAAATAAACTACAAGAAGAAACACAGGCAGCATAAGGAAGGGGAGGCTTATAGATAAAGAGACATATGAACTGGTTATAATAGATGGACCTTATATACTGATTTGAACAATCATCAAACTATAAATATTTTGAGACAATTGGAAATTCAAACAATTACTATATATTTGATATTGGGGAATTATTAAAATTTTAAGATACAGTGTTGATATATGATTGTGGATTAAAAGAGTGCCCTACTTTCTTTTTTAACTGATAATGTATTGACATCTTTGTAAGTTAAAGAGTGAAGTCTATGAATTTGCTTTAAGATAACCTAAAGGGAGACCAGTAGAGGAAAGGAACCAAGTGGGGGAGAGCTGGGGAATAATATTGGCCAATTATACTGTGTGTATGTACGAGTATGTAACAACAAATCCCATGAGTATGTATAACAAATAAAAAATGTGGGTGTGTGGGGAAAGATAACCTAGGGAACATAGTGGTTGGGGGTAGAATTGACCATGACTTGGTAATTGTTGAACCTGAACATGAATAATATGAATGGTCATTCTATTAGATTAAACTATAATATTTCATAGATTAAAACAATTTCAGGGGCTGGGACTCAGTGGCAGAGTGCTTGCCTAGCATGTGTGAGGCACTGGGTTTGATCATTAGCACCACATACAAAAAATTAATAAGATAAAGGCATGCTGTCCATCTACAACTAATAAATAAATAAAACACTTTCAGTAAGACATGGAGTTAAAACTAACACTGTTCTTTTTACTTCTGAATATGTTTGAAATTTTCTGTAATAAGTTAAATAAGTACAAAACAAAATAAAATCTTTAAGAGACAAGTGGAAATTTTAACTCTGACACATTGATATTAAGGGATTATTCATTTTTTTCATGTGTAATGACACTTTTAAACAGCTGTTAATTATTTTAACAAGTCCTCATGTTTTTGGAGCTTTGTTGTAGTATGTATAAGTTAAAATGATGTATAATTTATGAGATTTGCTTCAAAATAATACAGTGGAATGATTGAGAGTGAGAGAGAGTAGTAAAGAAATAGAATTTAGCCTTGCATTGATAATTATTGCAGCTGAGTGATGGGTTTATCTTTACTTTTGAATAAGTTTGAAATTTTTCATAATTAAAAGTTTAAAAAAGCAAGGATTTAATCAGGTATGTTAACTCTTTTTTACTTTTTTTTGAGCCAGGGGCTCACTGCTCCTCTACCCTAGCTGGCACTATAAGCCCTCACTGCTGAACCAGTTCTATGTTAACTCTCAACATTTATGCCATCATTTTCCATAATAGGGTTATATTTCCATATAAGGGAATTTCTATGATACCTGGAAAGCATTTTTTATTTTATTTAATTATTTATTTTTGTTTTTGTACCAGGAATTGAACCCAGGAGCACTAAAAACTGAGCCATATCCCTAGCCCTTTTTGTGTTTTGTTTGAGACAGGGTCTCACTAAGTTGCTGAACTTATTATCCTCCTGTCTCAGTCTCCCTAGCTATTAGGATTACAGTCGTGGCCAGTATGCTCGGCATGTATTCATTTTTAGTACCTTCACTTTGTGTCAGAAAACTACTGCAAGTTCATTTATGAAAGCAATACAAAAGTATAATTTTAAAATGAATGTAAGTAAAAATTAATCGGCCTAAAGTATTTCCCCAATAATAGTTGTAGAATTCAGAGATGAGATAAACTGTATGGTGTGAGAATGAAGTTGGAACCTTTACTATACTGATCTGTGCAAATAGCCAAATGAAGAAGCATCTATTATAAATGTTGTAAATAGCCCTAATATCCACATTTTGACACCTACCATAAATCTTCTGTGTGCTTGCATGTCTGCCTGAGTATCTTGAAAGGCTTTAAAACTTACCAGAAATTACAGAGGACAATTTTTTTCTTATCATTACAGAATGTCATACCCAGGCTATCCCCCCACAGGCTACCCACCTTTCCCTGGATATCCTGTAAGTATTGACACTTTAAAAAACTAAAATAACTCATATCGTTGAAACAGGTATTATATAGGAGTAACTGATTGCAGATCTTAACAGATGTGCTAGAGCAGGGTCATAAACTTAAACCTCCAGAGGTACCAAGTATAATTGGTGATTGAAAGCAGATGCTGTAGGGAAACTATCAAGAACAGTTTTCATTTATGGGAAGCTGGTGGCTACTCAGCTCTAGCCCCATAAGGCTAAGCATGGAGGTAGATCCAGTGTTGCAAGATATTTCAACACCTCAAGTAAAGCCAGAAACTTACATTTAGTGTCAATGACCTAAATTTTAAAAATTTTGAAGTTTTAAAAATGTTAACTGATACATGAGCTTATAAAATGGGTATGTAAGCTAAGTCCATCCCATGAATCCCTGGCTTTTAACCATTTTGTTAGATTTAAAATAATGAAGAAGATCTTGACTCAGATAATTTGCAGTGGATCAGAGGGCCCTGGACTTGTTGATAGCTGTATCACTCTGAGGATGAAATTCATAGCTGAGGCATTCATAAGAATTGCACATTTCAATTTAATATTCATAAGTGTATTAGGACTGTTATATAGCCCTGGAGGACTGTAAAGTGGGGCCTATACAGGTGAATGTTAATATGTGGATCTTTATGTGAAGTAAATATATGGCTCTCCTGAATTTGTCAGAGGAGAAATGAGAATTACTAATATGTTCCCAGGTTTGTACTAAACTGTAACTCTGACAACCATTTCTGTCAGTTAGGCTAATTGCTAAAATAAACAACCCTAAAATCTCCGTAGTTTATCACACATATCTTGCTTGCTTCGGTTTCTTGGAAGTGACAATAGGGCAGGAGTGGCTGGGAGGAGGCCTTCTTTCATGTACTGCTTCAGGTTCCCAGGTTCCTTCCTTGTATTGATTCTTCCATCCTTTCACACCTCAGGTCTTCCACTGGATCCTATTTGGGTGGGAGATGAAGGAAGAAAGAAAACATGGAAGATTGGGTAGAGGTTTTTAGTGGCCAGGCTAGAAGTGGCATGTATAACTTTTGTCTGCTTTCATTCACCAGTGTTCAGTCATGTGGTCCTCCCTAACTGCAAGGAGTTCAGAAAATGTAGTTCGGCTTTGTGGCTGGGGAGAAAGAGTCTGTTTTTGTTTTTAAAGATCGTCAATGTTGCCCAGGATGGCCTTGACCTCATGGGCTCAAATGATCCTCCTGCCTCATCCTCCCAAGTAGCTGGGAGTACAGGGGTGTGCCACCACAACTAGCTAGAAAGAGTTTATTGAACACATTAAAGAAAGTCTACCACTCGTAGATGTCTGTTTGAACTAAAATCCAAAATGTTACACCTTGTGTATGGTTGAATCACGCCTTTTTCTTTAATCTTATGCAATAGGTCCAGTTGTATTGCAAGAAAACAATGAATTCCTCTCTTTATGGTAGAGAGGAATATCTCTATCATATTTGCAAATGCTAGGAAAGTAAAGGAAATCATGAGCTTTGTTAGTTGTTTTTGAAGCCTTGGGGTTGGCAAGAACCTAGTTCTGACATTCAAATAGAGAAATGGACCCCTCTTACATGACCCAAGTAGAATTAAATTTAACTAAATTCTGACAAGTGTCTGAGAAACTTGTTTAGTACTTATAAACTAGTGTAAGATGCTAGGACTTCTAATGAGATTTTTAAAAAGTAAAATAATAAGCTAAGAGACCTTGATGATAATTTTTGGTCCTCTCTTTTAAAATATGGGTCATATTTCTCTGATCATATTCATTTGAAAAATTTTCTGGTTTTCTAGCCTGCAGGTCAGGAGTCATCTTTCCCCGCTCCAGGTCAATATCCTTATCCTAGTGGCTTTCCTCCAGTGGGAGGAGGTGCCTACCCACCAGTGCCAAGTGGTGGCTACCCAGGAGCTGGAGGCTACCCTGCATCTGGAGGTTATCCAGCCCCTGGAGGCTATCCTGGTGCCCCACAGCCAGGGGGAGCTCCATCGTATCCTGGAGGTGAGTTGTGGATTGTGGGATTACTAATTTGGGATTGCTGAAGTACTTTTTCCTTTTCTCTCTTTAATTCCTGCTTGTTTTATAAGAGGTCAGAGTTGTTCTTAGTTAATCATGGACGGTAAGAGGAAATACCTAGCTGGCAAGGTGGAAGTGTAAAAGTTCTCAGAGGACCTGAAAGCTGGGAGCAGTCTAAAAAATTCTGTGGAGGGAATTGGAATAAATTTAATGGTAATAACGGGCCAATATGTAACACTCTGGTTGATTATTTATGATTCTAAGAACTAAGGCACTTCAGTTAGTATGACTTTAACCTTCAACTTTATCTGAAGGTTTTTAAAAGAAGGAAAAAAAAAAAAAAAAACCCTTAGCAGTTTGTATGGTCAGTTAATAAAGAAGATGAGTGTAGTAAAAATTTTAATTTTATGTATTTTTGGTATCAGGGATTGTACCCAAGGGTGCTTAACCACCGAGCCACATCCCCAGCCCTTTGTTATTATTTTGAGACCGCCTCACTAAATTGCTGAAGCTGAATGTGAACCTGTGATCCTCTTGTCTCAGTGTCCCAAGCTGCTGGGATTACAGGTGTGGGCCTCTGCCAGTTTGTAGTAAAAAATTTTAAGGAGTTGGTGAGAAGCTGAATAATACACAAGGGGACTGCTTTTACAGCATTACTACTATAGCGTTTCCACTGTTAAAAATAGATTACTCTGCTGGGTGTGGTGGCGCTCACCTGTAATCCCAGCGGCTCAGGAGGCTGAGGCAGGAAGATCGAGAGTTCAAAACCAGCATCAGCAAAAGTAAGGTGCTAAGCAACTCGGTAAGTCTCTGTCTCTAAATAAAATAAAAAATAGGGCTGAGGATGTGGCTCAGTGGTTGAGTGCACCTGAGTTCAATCCCCGCTGCCCAAAAAAAAAAAAAGAAAAGATTACTCTGAAGTTTTCTCTGCATGAGAATTTTCACTATAGCTTATTGAACTATTTTTTAGTTCCTCCAGGTCAAGGATATGGAGCCCCACCCAGTTCAGCGAGCTTTTCTGGTTATCCACAGCCACCTTCACAGACTTATGGTGGTGGTCCAGCCCAGGTCCCACTACCTGGTAGGTATCAGCTGGTAGTACAGAGAGAAACAGTAACATAATACTGTGAATTTTTCAGTTGCCATTGAGAGAACTTGGTTTATGTTTGTGATAGTCTTCAGTGAATATGTATATGGTTTCATGAAGCAATTTAATGGAAGTGCTTAATCAGTAATGGGGATGTGGAATCACTTTTTGTATTTAAAAGTATCTCCAAAGCCAAAAAGAAAACACTTTAGGAACATCTGTCCAGTGTGTGCCACAAATGAAAACACCCCTGATAGCCATTCCAGGTGGAGTCAGAATTAAATGTGGGTCAAATGTAAAAATAAATAATTTGTTACTGTTGTGTAGAACAGGGAATATTAAAAAACCCATGTTGGGTTTAAAATCAGTGCCCTAGTGTGTCATCCTGTTGATAGCATGAATGTTCTCATGTTTCTATATTCATAGTGATCAGTGTTATTTTGAAATATTGTCATATAACCTGTTTTTTTTTTTTTGGGGGGGGGGTGTTGTTGTTGTTTTTTTAATATTTAGGTGGCTTTCCTGGAGGACAGATACCTTCTCAGTATCCTGGAGGACAAGCTCCTTACCCTAGTCAGGTATTTTTGCTTCTACCTTTTAAAATTTAGTTTGGGAAACTGGAAAATGCCAAAGAAGGATACCACTCCTTTGCTAATATTAGAGGTTTCCATGAAGCAGAGGAAATGGCCTATTACAGTTACTTGACTTTAATCTTTGCTTCTGATAGATCCCTTGCTGTCTTTTGTCCATCAGCTTTTAGTATCCTGATAACTTCAGTAAGAGACATACAGATCCTTCTTACAGATAACGAATCTCATAACTTTAAAGATTCACTTGGATTCTCAGCATTGGTTTTAGTTCTTTTTCCTCTTTCCTGCCCTTACCAGCAATTATAACTATGAACTTGGTCACTGGGTGATTGGAATTTCTGACAATGATTTATGAAGGGTTGTTTTGCTTTTCACTTTTCCGTTTATAACTTTCCACTCTTCTTTCAGATCAATACAGAATCCTTTCCTTCCTATCCTGTTTTTTCTCCTGTTTCTTTGGATAATAGCAGTGAAGTGAGTAAGGCTTTCATTAATCACTAGATCCTCTCTATATTCCTCTATTTGTTTCTGGTTTCTCATGCATTTTTCTTTCATCACTTCCTTGAAAGCTCAATTGTGTGGGGGTTTATCTTTTTGTCCAATAGTACTTGGCAGGGCTTTAAACATGGGAGTTGGTTAAACATGTTGCATCAATTTCTTGGTAGCCCCAGACGGTCTCCCATACATATGTATATGAAATCTTCATCCCATCTCTATAGATCTGCTGGTTTATTATATTTCTTTTTCAGTGGTGCTGGGGACTGAACCTAGAATCTGAGCATGTGAGGCAAGCACTTTGCCACTGAGCTACATGTTCAATCTGATAGCTCCTTATTTTAATACTGCTTTATTATTTTTTGTGTGCTGAGTGGTTTTTTTTTTATTATTCTTTTTAGATATAGAGCAGTAGAGTATATGACAGTAGAGTATATTTTGATATGCATGCATGGAGTATAACTTTTTTTTTTTTTTAAAGAGAGAGAGAGAATTTTTTAATATTTATTTTTTAGTTTTCGGCGGACACAACATCTTTGTTTGTATGTGGTGCTGAGGATCAAACCCGGGCTGCACGCATGCCAGGCGAGCGCGCTACCGCTTGAGCCACATCCCCAGCCCCATGGAGTATAACTTATTTTAATTAGGATAATACTATTTTATTCTTAAATCACTTTATTAATTATTTTATATCCTGTGGAAGTTACTAGGATCAGAAGCAGTATACTTTTACCTTGATTTTCTCTATTATATATTAACAAAGGTCTAGCATTTTCAAGCTTATTTTAGGCTGGAGTATAGTATTAGAAGAGAAATACCTTAGTGAATTATTTTGGCTCACTTTTCTGATTTGAGGAATTTGAGATCCAAAGAGGTACCTCTTCTAGGGCTATAAAGTTAGGGAAAGACAAAGGTGAAGACCTGATTGTAGTTCTTCTGACTTTCAGACCAGAGTCTTTCTGTTACTCTGTGCTGCTTTGCCAGTACAGCAAATGATATTCCTCCAAAGCACATAGTAAATGGCTTTCAGTCCTTTTTTATGATTGAAGTTGATTATTCATCATGTTATAAATCTGTGGTTAATCACTTGTGAGAATTTTGATTTTAGCTTATGCAGATATATAGTTTTAAAGACATCATTTTATAATTAAATGAGATTTTTAAAAAATATAGAACAGTAAAATTAAAATATATACACGTATACCACTTATTTTGTGTAACAATTTCCACCTTAAACTAGAACTGAAATTAATAGGGAGACCCAGCAGCTTGGGAGGCTGAGGCAGGAGGATTGCAAGTTCAAAGCCAGCCTCAGCAATTAGCAAGCCCCTAAGCAACTTAGCGAGACCCTATCTCTAAATAAAATATAAAATAGGGCTAGGGATGTGGCTCAGTGGATAAGCAGCCCTGGGTTCAATCCCCGGTATTTAAAAAAAAAAAAAAATGGGGAGTTAACAGAGCAGTAGATTTTGAAAGAACTTTTATTTATTTATTTATTTATGTATTTTTTAATATTACTGGAGATTGAGCCCAGAGGTGCTATACCACTATGCTATATCCTCAGCCCTTTTTTGTTTATTTAAAAAAATTTTTAAGACAGGGTCTAGCAAAATGTCCCAGAATGACCTCAAAATTTTACTCCTCTTCCTCAGCCACTGGAATAGTTGAGATTACAGGCATGCACCATTGTGCCCACCTAGCTGGAAGAGCTTTTAGATGGAAATAGTTTAGTAGCTCAGTGGTTAAGTAGTTAAGTTCAATCCCTGGTACAGAAAAAAAAAAAAAAAGCCCTTACCCACCTTTAGTACCAACTGATTTCAACCTTCCCACTGAAAAACTAACCAGAATTAGAGTTGGACCAGAGAGATCAGCTAGCCCAATTACCCATACAAGAGAGTAATTTTTCTTTATATCTTTCTTTTTTTGGCGGGCGGGGGGTGGATAACCAGATACTGAACTCAGGGGCACTTGACCACTGAGCCACAACCCCAGCCCTATTTAAAAATATATACATTTATTTTTAGTTATAGGTGGACACCATATCTTTATTTTATTTTTATGTGGTGCTGAGGATCAAACCCAGTGCCTCACGCATGCTAGGTGAGCACTGAGCCACAACCCCAGCTCTATTTTGTATTTAATTTGGAGACAAGATCTCACTGAGTTGCTTGGAGCCTTGCTTTTTGTTGAGGCTGGCTTTGAACTCGTGATTCTCCTGCCTTAGCATCCAACAAAGGGAGGGACTTCTATTAGCAGACACATAGTGCTAAGAAATCTCTCCTAGAGCTTTGACTGTTAGGAACATAGACTGATTTCTTTGAATTCAATATAATTCCTAGAGGATGATAATATTCTTGAAGATTCATTTCTAACTTAAGACTTTCAACATAGAATACGTCAACATTTTTCTCTACAGATGAAAAATAAAAGATTTTTTTCTTTTAGACAAAAGAGGAAAACAGTGGGAATCATCAAACAGTGTATGACCACAGTTCATTTTTCTTACTGTTCAGACCAGGTTATTAAACGCAAGGTCTTCTGCCCTTCTAAGAATTTAGACAATAGTAGCTATCTCAATGGCCAGTATCTTAGTTTCTTGATACAGTAAGGCTTAAGTAAGAAGAGTATGTTGAAATTTTTTATACTTGAATATTGGCTACAAGTAGAATAATTATAGTTTTTCCTTAAAACCATCATAGGAATATTTCTTGCTAGTATTCTGCTTACATTTTGGCTTAGATACTAGTAAGTGGGAGGGATTATTGACCATAAAATATTATCTTGGGACTGTATCTCTCTGGTAGAGTGCATGCCTAACATGCCCAGGCTCTGGGTTCAATCTCCAGTGCTGCCAAAATAAAATTTTTTTTTTGAAAGAAGGTCATGTTCCCTTCTTCCCATTTACTTTGACCTTAGTGTATTATTGTATTCGGTAGGTATAATTTTAAATTCACTTTTAGTTGCCTAAAAAGCAGTTGGATCATTTTTGAAATAATATTGATTGCATGTTTAAATGATAATACCTTTGACATATTTGGTTAAATAAAACATGTTGTTATAATTAAAATTTTTGAAAAATTCATGGGTTATTATCTTGCTTCATTCCATCCCTTATTAAGTCTGACTTGGAATATTTTAAGAAAACTATTGAATTGTTTCCTAGCATAGTATTTAAAGTGAAATACTATTGCCCAACCTCAGACCTTATTTAAATTTTACTAATTGCCCCAATAATGTCCTTTCTGTGATTCAGGATCAAATCCAGAATGAAACACTGAATTTATTGTCACATCCCTCAAGTCCTCTTTAATCTAAAATAGTCTTCAGTCTCTTGTTCATGACCTTTACGCTTTTGAAGAACACTCATTTATTTTTAAAACATTTCTTAATTTTGGGTTTGTTTGATATTTCCTCATAATTAAATTCAGGTTATGCCTTTTTTTCAGGAATACCACAGAAATGTTGTTTTCCTAGCATATCATATCCAGAGGCACTTAGTGACTTGTTCCATTACTAGCAAAAAAATTAGTTTGATCACTTATTTAAAACGTTACTTGCTCAGTTTCTCTCATGTAATAATCCAAACTATGCAATTATCTTTGTTCTGATCATACTTTTGTCTCCTAATTTTGGCATCCATTGATAATTCTTGCCTGAAACTGTTATTACTGTGGCATTTGTCAAATGGCGATTTTTAAATTTCCACATAGATTTGTACTTTAAAAATATAGTCAAGGGTAGAGCGCTTGCCAAGCATGTGTGAGGCACTGGGTTCGGTTCTCAGCACCACATAACAAAAAATAATAATAAATAAATAAATAATAAAGGTTAAATTCTTAAAAATATGTATATATAAATTACATATATATGTGAAAATTATATATGTATGTATATGGTCTGTGTTCTGTTTTCTCGTTTGTTTCCTCATAAGATAGGAATATTGTACCTTTCAGAATCTTAATCATTATTTTTTTCATTTTGTGGTTTTATTATAAAACATTTTATTTTTAATAATCAGGGCCTTTGGAGGAAATGAAGAGATATTACCAAAATTATATTGCTAGTTTGAAAACTTGTTGGGCTCTCATATCTATTTAACTAACGCCATATTCTGCCTTTACATCAAACATTTTCACTCATCTCATACTGTTTAGGGATCAGTCCTTTTTTTCTTCCTGTTCTAGCAAAAAGGAAGCCAATGCATAAGAAGACCATAACTTTAATTTCACAAGTTTGACCCTTTTGTGTCCTTGAAGATTGATGTCTGGCTAGTCTGTTAATACGAGAAAAATTGGTTCCAAAGTGGGATAGGTCTTTCCTATCTGTTCTAGAATGAGCCCTGGTAATAATATGCTCATATTCTTGATATTAAATCCAAATATTGACCTTCTTGCCTAAAGATTGATATCAGGAGAATCTTTAATTTGCCTTATTGTCAGCAGAGAATCCTGACTTGGATTTTATGTTTTGTTCTCAGCCTGCAGCAATGACTCAGGGTACTCAAGGGACCATTCGACCAGCTGCCAACTTCGATGCTATGAGAGATGCAGAAATTCTCCGTAAAGCAATGAAAGGATTTGGTAAGGAAAACAGATTTTGTCTTTTATAAGAAGTTAAAGTAATTAACTCTGAAGTAAAATAAACCTTATGTTATAAACCAAGTTCATGTGTCAGCCTGTGTGCCCATGCTTCATTTTTTTCTGGTACATACTTCCTTGTAAGTATTCTATGGAATGATCTCCAGTAGCACCCAACATAGATTTCATCCTTACTTCAATGTGTATGGTTCTTACAGGGACAGATGAGCAGGCAATTGTGGATATTGTGGCCAGTCGTTCCAATGATCAGAGGCAAAAAATTAAAGCAGCTTTTAAGACCATGTATGGCAAGGTATGAGTTTTTGTTTCTGTGTTTTTGCTTTTCTTTAGTGAGCACAAGCAGGGGCAGGTAGACTCTGCATTCATGTCAGATTGGATGCCATGTTTTTATTAGTATCTTTAGTACAATGGAGAGACAGCTAGAAAACATAGACTCAGGAGTGGTGAATTCACTATATATTTCTTTTAAAAGCCTTTTTCATTCTAGAGAAATCCATATATATATATATATATATATATATATATATATATATATATGTAACTACTTGCCAAATACATGTAACTACATACATGTTTTGTACATGCTATGTTCCTGGCCTTTTACACCTTTTTATCTGCATGACCAACAACTTCTTAAAGACTGGGTTTGAATATCAGTTACTATAATATTTCTGTCATTGCTCTGGGCAGAATTTAACTATTCCTTCCACTCTGGTCCCATAGCACTTTGTATACTATCACTAATCTCATGGGACACCTCTTATAACTGTGAGCTTCCCTAGGATAAACCATGTGTGTTTATCTTTATGCCTGTAGCACCAAGCATATAGTAACAAGTAACTTCCTAATATTTGCTGAATGGATGATCATTGATTAAATCCAGCAAGACTATGGCTAGCAAGTTCCATCCTTCTTCAGATTTAGTGAGAAAAACTGGGCAGCATTATTTAGCTATTTATATAGGAATCCCCAAAATTTCCTAATATCTTCTGCATCTAGTTTACTTTTCTCTTCTCAAAATGGAGTAGTGATTCCTCAGTCTGGCCTTGCCTATTCTGCCTTTTCCTTTGCCCAACCCAGATTCACTACTACTGCGGCTACTTTTTTTTTTTTTTTTAATTTTTAGGAAGGTGTGCTCTGGGGATCAAACCAGGACATCAAGCACATAGGCAAGCACTCTGCCACTAAACCACATATGCTTCTTTATTCTTTTTTTTTTTTTTTTTTAATCTTTTAGTTGTAGTTGGACACAATACCTTTATTTTAATATGGTGCTGAGGATCGAACTCAGGGCCTCTCATGTGCTAGGTGAGCATTCTACCCTTGAGCCACAACCCCAGCCCCCTCCCGGCTTCTTTATTCCTAAGATTAAGTATGCAAACACAAGCCCTAGACTTCCTTAAAGTGCAATATCAGATTCACTTCTCTCATATTTTCCATGTTATGAATTTCTTCAGTTCCTATCTAGTCTGTTATGCTATCTTGAATTTTCTCAGATATTGCTTTAGAATTAAAACTGAACTTACGACCTATTTTTCTTACCCCAGCTACCTTATCACTTGACTTCTTATTGGTAAAATGAATTTTCTTGCATACTGTGGAGTCATCTTTGAGTCCATATTCTTTTTTTAAAAAAACATTTATTTTTTAGTTGTAGGTGGACACAATACCTTTATTTTGTTTTTATGTGGTGCTGAGGATTAAACCCAGTGCCTCATGCATGCTAGGCGAGTGCTCTTCCTCTGAGCCACAACTCTAGCTCCTGATTCCATATTCTTTATCAATTAGTGAATATTTATTCAGGGCCTACTATATGCAAGTAGTGTCTTGTCCTAACAATTTTATTTACTTACTAAGTTTTATTCTATAAAATGACTTTTTTAAAATGTCTTTTGTATACTTTGTTCATTTCCATTGCTGCTGCCTAAGTTCAAGCCTACTTGCCTGCCTGCCTTTCTTCCTGTCTCTCTCTTTTCCTTTCTCTCTCCCCCACCTCTTTCTTTTGTGGTGCTGGGGGTCATACTCATGTTAAACAAGTGTTCTACATTGAGCTACACTACCAGCCCAAGTCCAGGTCTTTATTACTTCTTAACTACATATTTCAATAGCCAAAATGTTCTTATTTATAGTCTTTTTATTACCAGGGACCATCCTGCATGTTGTTACTATTTATATCAAACTATCTTGCATAAAAGTTTCCAGTGGCTCCTCCCAGAAAGTAATCCAAGATTTAGTTATCTGCTATGAACTATGAAAACCTCCTTATCTAACAAAATCAGTTGTCTTTATTATTCCATTGAGCAAGCTTTACTCATTCTTTCCTCTTATCTGGTGATTCTCAAAAATAGCTAAATACCATCAAGAATTTTAGAACTTAAAAACACACAGAATTTCTAAGTCTTAGTGCTAGACACCAATTTTTAAAGAAGCTATATAGATGATTTTAATACTGGGAACTACTTCTTTATTCCTTGTTCATGTTCCATCTTTCTGCCTGAAATACCCTTTTTTCTTTGCCTGCTAATTTTTTTAGGTATTCTTCAAAAGCTGGACTAAAAGCTTTCTCTGAGCTCTCTATCCCTTTAAAACTTCCATGTTTCAACTTTTTTGGTTTGTTTTTGTACTCCTTGTCTGGTGCTGTAGTACAGGTTGGCATGTATTCTCTTTTTAGATATTTATCTTTCCAAATGAGAGCAAGATGATGATGACTTCTATTTCCTCATAGAACCAGTTTCTTGTATTAAATAAATATCCATTTATATTATTAATCTGAGTTATTATTTATTCCACATATTTCTCATCTTTGTAACTGGTAAAGTAGAACTGCAATAAGAATATATCAAGTGTTCATAGATAGAATGAATATGTATCTGCTCGAATGTAACACACTTCCAGTATATGTGTTATTTCTTTAGAATATCACTTTCAGATTTGAAATTTAGGTTTTTCTAAAGCAATTATATTTCATTTTTTCATATTTTTCTTAAAAGATTTAAGTGATAAAATTTGGAGAATATGTATGCTTAGGTTGCATTTGTAATTAAACAGGATTTAATCAAAGATCTCAAGTCAGAGTTGAGTGGAAATATGGAAGAACTGATTCTTTCCCTGTTCATGCCTCCTACATATTATGATGCCTGGAGTTTACGGAATGCAATGCAGGTACTTTGTCATTTACTACATTTTATTCCATTTCACATGTAAAACCCCACAAATTACAGTGGTTCTGAATTTTCATATCTGAAATAATTGTTCAGTTCTAGAAGACAAGTATTTGTTGGAGTAGTAAAATTTAATTACTTTCAGTAATTGAAAATAAAGATTTTGCTTTTCTTTTATATACTTTACCCTTTTCTTCATTTCACATAGGGAGCAGGAACTCAGGAACGAGTATTGATAGAGATTTTGTGCACAAGAACAAATCAAGAAATCCGAGACATTGTCAGATGTTATCAATCAGAATTTGGACGAGACCTTGAAAAGGACATTAGGTCAGATACATCAGGACATTTTGAACGTTTACTTGTATCCATGTGCCAGGTGAGTGTAGCGTGAATGTTTGTGTATAGTAGAGGGAACATACTTTATTGCCAATTTCTAGTGAACATTCTTATTCATTTTAATATTTAGCCACCTTGGAATATTGCCAGCTTTAAGAGGAATAGCACAGATTTGGTATTCAGGGTTTTTTGTAGTTAATACTGGGATTTATTTCTGCAAATTTGGATTTTGTAAGAAATTAGAAATTGGGGCTGGGGATGTGGCTCAAGTGGTAACGCGCTCGCTTAGCATGAGCGGGGCGCTGGGTTCGATCCTCAGCACCACATAAAATAAAAGATGTTGTGTCCACTGAAAACTGAAAAAAAAAATTAAATCTCTCTCTCTCTCTCTCTCTCTCTCTCTCTCTCTTCAAGGTTTAGTGGAAACAGAACCCAGCTTTAGGCTAGAATGGGGATAAAACTGTACATTTAAATTTAGCAGTGTCCTGCCAGTTATATTGGACCAAATGAAGATATGTAGGACAGCCATAGACCTGCTAAACTATGTAAAGAGAGCCAGAAATGCAGAAAAATATTTAAGGGTTCATATTAATAATATGATTAGTATCATTCTTATTCTGATTCCCCAAATATGCTGGAGAAGTAACAGACAATACCCAAACTGGTATTTGGACAGAAAGGATGAGGATGTATTTGAAAGAGATGATAAAAAAGACTAGCACACAGATTCAGTGTAAGGAGTTATGGCTGTCCTACTAGTGCATATGTCTTGAGGAAGACGGACTCTTGAAAGCCAATGAGGTAATTGGAAAAAGTGCAGAAGTTAAGGGATATGGAAACAAGAAAATGAAGCAGATAAGTTGTTATAACAGTAACAGAGCAGGGAAGTAGGTTAGCATTTAGAAAGAACAAGGAGGAAAACAGGAATAGTTGATGCTAAAGAAATGTTTTAAGATTTTACATGAATTGCTGAGTTTCTCTTTATTCAGGAAGGGTTTAAGACCCCGCCATACTTTTCCGCAGTGTGAATAGAAGATTAGCTTCCTAGAATAGGGGACTGCATTTTGAATGTGGGTTCAAAGGCAGTGTTAAGGGAAGTTTTTCCTTGAGCATCTTTTTCTGTGCTATGTTCAGATACCCATTTAGAATATCCCTGTACATATTCTTTGAGTTAAGTGCTTTTTAGAAAACACTTTTCACCTTGAGAGAGCATCTTTTCATTTTGTTCCTCAGGCACCAACTCGAAAGGGCAACCTTGGGGCTGGGGTTGTGGCTCAGCGGTCGAGTGCTCGCCTAGCATGTGCAAAGCCCTGGGTTCAATTCTCAGCACCACATAAAAATAAGTAAACAAAATAAAGGCATTGTGTCCAACTACAACTAAAAAATAAATGTTTAAAAAAAAAAAAAAAAGAAAGGGCAACCTTGTATTAAGATTATACTTGGGGGGGGCTGGAGTTGTAGCTCAGTAGTAGAGTGCTTGCCTAGCATGTATGAGGCACTGGGTTTGATTCTCAGCACCACAGGTAAATAAATAAAATATAAAGCTCCTTTGACAACTGAAAAAAAAAAATTTGTTTTTTGAAAAAAAGTTAAAAAACTAAAAAAACCTTAGATGAAGGAAAAGAAGTCCATAAAATTTCCATATTATATCTTCCCTCCTTAGACTTTAAATTCCTTGAGGGCAAGAACCTTTAGTTTTATGAATGGATATAAGGGGAATTCCATACAGTGCATATTGATGTTTAAATCCTAGCTTAGGAGAGTTTTAATTGTGTCATTTGGTAGTTTGTTTCTCCTAGTAAAGAGATTTTTGTTTAAATCTTTTCTGTTTTAATTTGACTCTCAAAGCCCTAAATTTCTTCCTCTTTTTTTTTTTTTTTTTCCCCTTCTGTATCAGGGATTGAACCCAGAGGCACTTTATCACTGAACTACATTTTTTATTTTGAGACAAAATAAGTTGCTGAGGCTGGCCTTGAACTTGTGACCCTCCTGTGTCAGCCTTCCAGGTTGCAGGTCCCAGGTTGCTGGCATGTGCCACTACCTGTCTTGAAACTCTTTGTTTTAAAATAACCTTATTAAACTCTGATCATTTGCTATAAAATCCATACAGTGCAATATAGTACTAGCTGCACTGCTACAGTTTCTTTGGAAGTGAAAGATACATATGATGACTTAATGTATTAATCTTTAATAAGTTGTTTCTTTAAATCCAAATGTTACAAGATTGCAAAACAATGTTTTTAATAGCACTTTTCTTCATTTCAATTCGTGCCTTCTGTTTTTTTGCAGGGAAATCGTGATGAGAATCAGAGTGTAAACCACCAAATGGCTCAAGAAGATGCTCAGCGTCTCTATCAGGCTGGTGAGGGGAGACTAGGGACAGATGAATCTTGCTTTAACATGATCCTTGCCACACGAAGCTTTCCTCAGCTGAAAGCTACCATGGAGGCTTATTCCAGGGTATGAGCTTTTCTTCTGAAAATTTGGTGTCTGTTTTAGGATGTGAAAATATTTAACCCTATAATTTTTTGTTGACAGATGTCTAATCGAGATTTGTTAAGCAGTGTGGGCCGCGAGTTTTCCGGATATGTTGAAAGTGGTTTGAAGACCATCTGTAAGATATTTTTGTGCTTTTCTTGGTTTTGTTTTCCAATCAATAGGGGTTTGAATAGTTGTTCCCATTAAAGTGATAATAATTAATAAAATCTTCCTGGCATCACTTAGGCAGAAACTGAGTTAATTATATGTTTTTCTTTGTAATTTCCTGTGAATGGTTGCTGGTGTGGTCAAAATAGGATTGTTTTGAGATTATTCAACTTTATCTAAAATATCTTTTCCTGAGAACTGTGCAAGAAGATTCAATAGATTATAACACTTCTTTAAGGTGAACAGGAAAGCATTAAGGAACTACTGGTACCACGACAAAACATTTTTGAACCCTCAATTATGGTTTTTAAGTACTTAGCCCAATGAGACCCTTTTCCCTTTTGAAATTAAACAACCCGTTTCTGGTGATCTAAATGCCCAGATGTCTATTTGAAATTGAAATTTTGTTCCCAGGGATACTAGGACTAAGGAGAGTAACACATTGTATTAGCAATGGAGTATCTTACAAATATTACTATCCTAATTATAGCAAAAGTGATAAATGTACACTTAGTACCCTACTATTTGTAGGAGGAAACTCAACTGAGTGAATTTTCTAGAGAAATACCAGATTTCTGAGCATCATTTTGAACTCTGCTCAAATCTTATATCTTACTTTCAGCCAAATGATATTCTTGACTGAAAATTTGGTGTCTGTTTTAGGATGTGAAAATATTTAACCCTATAATTTTTGTTGACAGATGTCTAATTGAAATTTGTTAAGCAGTGTGGGCCGAGTTTTCTGGATATGTTGAAAGTGGTTTGAAGACCATCTTACAGATGGTCTATTTTACATGAGTCCTAGGCTTTTTTTTTTTCTTACAGATGGTCTGCAAACCACTTAAAGAAGTTTGTCATTATTCCTCTTAAGATATTACTGGGGCACACCTCTTACAGATTTTTCCATTGTAAGGGAGCAAATATAATGAATCTAAATCAATGCATTTATGGAGAAAAAAATGTTTTATGGGACAGAGGAAATCTTCTAGATTTGAAGGTAGCTTGTATGGTACAGCAAGAAAGAAAGATGGCTGAGAAAAACTAAGGGAGGTTGACACCTCCAACTCCTCTGAGATTTCTAAGATGATTATGTAGAAAATAAAGGCAAGCTAGAAGTGACAAAAGAAGCTGGAGGGGTAAACTGGTTTCCAAGTCATGATTTTAGTCTGAAGTATCTCTGACTTGCAGTGCAGTGTGCCCTGAACCGTCCTGCCTTCTTTGCTGAGCGGCTGTACTATTCTATGAAAGGTGCAGGCACAGATGACTCCACTCTGGTCAGGATTGTGGTCTCTCGAAGTGAGGTGAGGCAAAGCAGCACTTTCTCTTTTTGTCTGGGATTTTGAATGTTAGCTTCTTAAAAATGTCTTAGTTGGTTGTGAACCCCTCAAGAATATTGTAAGAAAGAGCTTTCCTTGTCACTGTATTTATTTGTCATAGTATTCACTTTCTTAATTTTGTGAGAGAGGCCTATAGTAGTGAACAAAACCCTCTACCTCAATAAAAACACCACCAAGAAATGTTCCTAATTGAGAAGATCTGTGGAGACTACTTATTTTATGGCAAGTTGAATGATATTTATTTTTAATTTAATTTTTGTAAGAAACAGGAGTCAAGCTGTGTTGCCTAGGCTGGCCCCCAAACTCCTGGGCTCAAACACTCTTTCTGCCTGAGTCTCCTGAGCAACTGGAATTATAGGCACGTGCCACCATGCCTTGCTTGTTTGCTTGCTTTGGTTTGTTTGTTTATTTATTTATTCATTTATTCACTTTATTTTGCCTGGCTGGAGTCAAACCTAGGGCCTTATATATGCCAAGCAAGTGCTCTACTACTAATTAATCTACAGTCTTGGGCTTATTTTTTTAATTTTGCTCATGTAAAAAATTACATGAAAAACTAATATATGTTAATCCTATTAGATATGAAAGCTGATTGAAATTTAATGTCCCTTATTCATTATAAGGGATCACCATTTTTCTTTACCTAAATATGGACTCAAACATTTTTATTTATATATATATATATGCATCTATAAGAGTGAGTGAGTGAGTGAGTGAGTGTGTGTGTGTGTTTAGTGTTGAGGATTGAACCCAGGGCCTTATGTTAGGCAAACACTCTGCGACTAAGCTGTAGCCTGAGCCCTGAAATTTTTTAGTTGTAGGGAAATATACACTACTAAATAATACTAGAGAAGCTAGATCATTTTTACCAAACCAACCAGTATATGATGTTTTAAAAAACATTTTGTGTGTTTATTCTTAGTTCTCTAACCATGATCTTTTAAAAAATTGTAATGAGGAGCTGAGCTTGTAGCTCAGTGGTAGAGCATTTGCCTAGCATGTATGAGGCATTGGGTTCAGTTCTCAGCACCACATATAAACAAACAAACAAACAAATGTCCATTGACAACTTAAAAATATTTTTAAAAATTGTAATGAAATATTCATAACACAAAATTTACCATTTTTAAACATCTTTAAGTATACAATTCACTGGCGTTAAATATATTTATGTTATTGTGTTACCATTACCACTGTCCATCTTAGAACTTTTTTCTTCTTGCCAAACAAAATTTCATGTTTCAGTATTGTAGGTACCTCTCACAGCATGAGGAAAGTTAATACTGTGCTTTATTCTACCTTTCTCATTAAACAGTAACTCCCCAACCTCTTTTCTTTCAACCCTCAGAAACCACCATGCAACTTTTTTTTTTTTTTAATTTATTTTATTTATTTATGTGGTGCTGAGGATTGAACCCAGGGCCCTATGCATACTAGGCAAGCATGCTACCACTGAGCCACAACCCCAGCCCAACAGCATGCAACTTTCTTTTTTTTTTTTTTTTTAAAGAGAGAAAGAGAATTTTTTTTTAATATTTATTTTCAGTTTTCGGCGGACACAACATCTTTGTTTGTATGTGGTGCTGAGGATCGAACCCGGGCCACACACATGCCAGGCGAGCGCGCTACTGCTTGAGCCACATCCCCAGCCCGACCATGCAACTTTCTATTCCTATGTTTCACTGTGCTAGCCACCCCGTATGAGTGGAATCATAAAAGTATTTGATCTTTTGTGACTGGCTTTTTTCACTTAGCTTAGTGTCTTCATGATTCAGAAATTTCTCCCTTTTAAAGGCTAAATAATATTCTATCATATCTTTTTTTAAAAAAAAATTTTCAGATGTTGATGGACCTTTATTTTATTCATTTATTTATATGGGGTGCTGAGAATTGAACTCAGTGCCTCACACATGCTAGGCAAGCACTCTACCACCGAGCCACAACTCCAGCCCCAATATTCTATCTCATCTATTTACTACTTTTTCCTATTTGTCTTTGCAAATGTGGCTTGTTTCTACCTTTTGACAATTGTGAATAATGCTGCTGCAAAGATGGGTATACAATCTGTTCAGGTTCCTACTTTTCACTTTTTTCTTATTTACCAAGAAGTACAATTACTGAATGATGTAATTCTATGGCTCTTTTGATTAGTGGGGAATCACCATACTGTTTTCCATTGCAGTTGCATCATTTTACATTGTCACCAGTGATGAATAATGGTTCCCATTTGTTAACATCCTCTCCAACACTTATTACATTCTTTGTTTGTGATAGGAATCATTCTGTTATCAAATGGCTTATTCTATCATAGCCATTCTGTTTTTTAAATGATTAATATATTTGGAATAATAGATAACATGAGTATCACACTTACCCAGTATTTTACAGAACAGTTAATCAGACTTCCATCGGGTACTGCTAACCCTGGTATGAATGTCAGCTATAAAATGTCAGTCACTAGGTGTTTCCTCCTTCCCCACATTTTGATTATTAAGAACTTATGATTAGCCAGGTGTGGTGGCACATGCCTGTAATCCCAGCAGCTCAGGAGTCTGAGACAGGAAAATCACGAATTCAAAGGCAGCCTCAGCAATGGTGAGGCACTAAGCAACTCAATGAGACCCTGTCTTTAAATAAAATACAAAAAATGGCTGGGGACATGGCTCAGTTGTTGAGTGCCCCTAAATTCAATCCCCAGTGCCACACACACACACAAAATTTACGATCATTAAGAATTACAGTAAATACTAGGGGTTTTTGACTAATTTTTTTTTCCTAACCTATCATTTCTTATGCAGATCGACCTTGTGCAAATAAAACAGATGTTCACTCAGATGTATCAGAAGACCCTGGGCACAATGATTGCGAGTGACACAAGTGGAGATTACCGAAAGCTGCTTCTGGCCATTGTGGGTCAGTAGAAGGGATTTTTTTTTTTTTTTAAAGGAATGAAGCTATTTATAGCTCATCCTTTAGAACAATGACTGACCCGCATGCAGCAGTATCAACTACCACTTAACCAAAACAGCTTTTTACCAAGGACTGTCAGGGTAATGTGCTCAGTTTGCACATGTTGTTGTTGCCTTAAATCTAATGTTATCTTTTCATTCTGTGTATAAAATAAAGCCATATCACAATGATGTAATAATTTTGCAATGTTTGTAAAGCTTCATTCTCACTGCTTTTATTCTAATCAGGATTTCAAATTGAATAAAAATCACAGCAATATTTACATGTGTAATCATGAGTACATGTTTTAAAAGATTTCTCACTGGACCGGGGACATATCTCAGTGTTATAGCAGTTTGCTGGGTGTGTGAGGACATGGGTTCAATCCCCAGTTCTGCAACAACAAAAACTCATCATCTCAACTCAATCTAGTTAAAAAAAAAAATGAGAAAATACTATTTTATAAAAGTAATGCTGGTTTGGCTTGACTTCAGAACATGATTGTGATAAAGGAATATAAATAATGATGTGTCCACAATAACTCACAGCTATTAATAACTGGTTATTTCCCTCCTTCCCTCTGCCTTGTGCATGCTCAGCAAGTGCTCTACATCCCTGTCCCTTTAAAAATAAATTTATTTTGAAATGGTTTTGCCAAGTTGCCAAGTCTGGCTTTGAACTTGTTGTTCTGCCTTAGCTTCTCAAGTATTTGGGAATGTGGGCATGTACCACTGTGCTTGCTTATTCTTTATTTTCTAACATCTTAGTCTTTTCAGCATAAATAGAAAAAAAAAGAGAGAGAGACTTTGCTTTAGCTAAGTTTGTATTATATTTCCATTTAAAAAAAAATAGATTTATGGGGGCTGGGCTCAGTGATAGAGCGCTTACTGTGCACGGGTGAGGCACTGGGTTTGATCCTCAGTACCACATAAAAATAAATAAATAAATATATTGTGTCCATCTACAACTAAAAAAAATTTTAAAAAAAATAGATTTATTTTGTTTATTTATTTATTTTTTATGTGGTGCTGGGATGTGATTCTGCAACCTGTACACTTGGAAAAATGAGAATTCATACCCCATTTGTTTCAAATGTATGATATGTCAAGATCATTGTATTGTCATGAGCAACTAATAAACAATTAATTAATTAATTAAAAATAGATTTAAATGTTGGTAGGGGGTACTCCGGATTGAACCCAGGAGCATTCTGCCTTGAGCTACATACTCATCTTTTTAAATTTTTATTTTGAGACTGGGTCCCACCTCCTCAGTCTTCTTAGTAGTTGAGATAACAGACGTGCACCACCTTCCCCAGCTTAATATCAGTATGATGTTCGCCAAATGAGAACAATTTACCTGAAATCTGAGCAAAGAGATTTCTACAATCTTCAAATTGGTAAATTTGGAGATTATAGAGATTTTGCTGGTGTTCTTGAGATTCCTTTCCATCCTAAGGCTGATTATTATAAACTATTTCCCTGCTATGGGATAGTGGGAGTTCCCTAAAGCAGACCACACAACACTGAAAGTGGTGAGTTGTTCAAACCTGGTATTGTAAACTGATGGGACTACGTGCAAGATGGTAAATATTGTTATGCTTCCAAGGCTGTTAGGAGCTGAGTAGGAGCGAAAGAAGGTTGCCTCCTCCTCTTCAGATTCCCAGTATCATGAACCCTAACTTTTTATTGGGCAGGACATCAGATTGTTTCTGTATTCCTATGGGATTCCACAGGATGTGGAAGAAAGGCAAGGATTACTTTATATGTTCAATACTCAAAGTAAAATAAATCATTTTTAATTTATATAAATCACTATCTTCTTTTAACCTTTTTTACCCTAAGCTTTGTTTCTTAGCACTTTACTAGCTATCCAATGTACAATAGGGTGGAGGATGTATTTGTTGCCTTTCTAGGTAATAAAGTCTACTAATAACAACTGTTTTATGGCCTTTCCTCTCATAATCATTTTTCTGTCATCTTTCTGAAATTCCATTTTAGGTATCATTTGTCATTTTTGCTTAACTACCAAACAACCATACCATCTTATTTTAAGTTAGCATTTGTAAAAGTCTTTGAAATTCTGATCTTACTAATTTATAAATTTGATTGATAGAAAACTACTTCCATGAAAAGTGATTAATAAAAATTCCCAAAAGACAACTTTAATTTTAAGATAACTAACTAAATAATCAATTTGGTTCCATGATTTTTCAGAAACAATGGAAATTGTAAATTTCTTTTTTAAAAAATTCAGCTCTTTTGACCTAGAAGGGTAATTTGTATCTTATTTTGCATGATTGGTGTTCTGTATTCAAAATATTTAACTCTGTACAGACCAGTTTTACCTATGACAACTTTTTAAAATGGAGTCAAATGTTTATATGTTTAAAATACACATCTTACTTTTCCCAGTTTTTTAAATTGAGATATTTTTTATTGGCATGCTTCACTTAGTAACTTGTTGCCTGAGTTCATAGTTCATATTTTTTATTGAATAAAAAAATGTACATATTTAAGGTACACATTATGGTGTTTTGATATGCCTTGTGATTCCCACAATCAGGTTCAAACTAATATCTGTCACCTGCCACATTTAACCAGTTTTTTTGATGTGTAGTGAGGACACTTAAGATCTACCTTAGCAAATTTCAAATTTGCAAAACATAATTAACTATAGTCACCATGCTGAACATTAGATCTCCAGAATTTATAACTGAAAGTTTGTACCCTTTGACCAATATGTCCCTATTTCTCTACCCCCACCCCTAACAACTACCATCTACTGTTTCTCTGAGTTCTATTATTTTAGATTCCACATTTTAAAAATATGCAATATTTGTCTTTGGCTTATTTTACTTAGTATACCTGTCACACAAGTTTATAGTTAATCCCTGTTGCAAATGGCAGATTTCCTTTTTTTGAATAATGTTCCATAGTATATGTAGACCAGGATTTCTTTATCCATTTGTCCATTGGTGGACATGGGTTATTTCTATATCTTTTTCTTTTATATTTTTTTAGTTGTTGACAGATCTTTATTTTTTTATTTATTTATACCTGGTGCTGAGAATCTAACCCAGTGCCTCACACATGCCAGGCAAGTGTTCTACTGCTGAGCCACAGCCCTAGCCCCTGTTTCTATATCTTGGTTATTGTGAATAATGCTGCAGTGAACATGGGATTGTGGATATTTCTTCAAGATACTTTATATTTGGTGCCCTTCAATTATATATGCAAAAATGGTATTTCTGGATTTTAAGTAGTTAATATTTTGAGGAACGTCCATAGTATTTTCCATAACAGCTGTACCAATTTACATTTTCAGCAACAGTATAAAAGGGTTTCCTTATGCCTGTGATCTCAGTGGCTCGGGAGGCTGAGGCAGGAGGATCGTGAGTTCAAAGGCAGCCTCAGCAATGGCAAAGTGCTGAGCAACTTAGTGAGATCCTGTTTCTAAATAAAATACAAATAGGGCTGGGGATGTGGCTCAGTGGTTGAGGTTCAATCCTCAAAAAAAAAAAAAAAAAAAAAGGATTCCCTTTTTCTCACATCCATGCCAATATTTATTATGTCCTTTCTTTCTGATAATAGCCAACTTAAGTATTATGAGGTAGTGTCTTCATGGTTCTGATTTACATTTCCCTAATGATTAGTGATGTGGAGCAACTTTTCATGTGCCTGTAAGCCATTTGTATGGCATCTTTGGAAGAATATTTATTGAGGTCCTTTGCCCATTTTTAATAGGATTTTTGCTGTTGAGTTTTAAGAGGTCTTAGTATATTATAGATATTAACCCCTTGTCAGATATGATTTGCAAATATTTTGTCCCATTATGCTTTTTGTTGATTTTTTGCTGTGCAGAAGCTTTTTGGTTTGATGTGTACTTCCACTTGTTTGCTTTTGTTGCCTGTGCTTTTGGTATCTATCTAAACAATCATTGCCAACACTAGTATCAAGAAGCATATTCTTTTTTTTTTTAAGTTGTAGTTGGACATAATACCTTTATTTATTTATTTTTTCCAGTACATAAACATGCCACAGCTGCAGACAGCTAAGGATCAAATCCAGGGCCTCACACGTGGTAGGTGAACACTCTACCACTAAGCCAAAACCCCAGCCCCAAGAAGCATATTCTTTATATGTTTTATACATATGTACAATAGGGTGGAGGATGTATTTGTTGCCTTTCTAGGTAATAAAGTCTACTAATTTATTTATTTATTTTTGGTGCTGGGGTTTGATAGGTCTCACCTTTAAATCTCTATTTTCAGAGTTTACTTTTGTGTATGATGTAAGATAATGGTCTAATTTCATGCTTTGCATAATACATCACTTTTATGTCTACCATAATTCTGAAGATCTTTATTTGCCCTTGATGATTTAAAAAATTGGTTATGAAAGACATTAAAATTAGTTGCAATTTAGGCATGTTCCAAGAAAGTGAGGTTTAACATACCTTAGATGCTCAATGTATGAGTGAATGAATATTAAAGTGTCTCTGTGGGAGAACTGAATGCTAGCCCCTGGGAGGAGCTAGCCCCTAGTCTAGGAGATGAGTTAGTGGGACAGCAGAATGGCTTCAAAACCCAATGATTTAACCCTGAGACTAAGCAGTTATTTGTTATATTGAGCATTACACTAGGTCTCAAGAGAAAAGGCAAAGGAAAGAGTTTGTAAGTTAGTGGGAATTCTAAACAAATTAGTACGAAAAAATTATAAATGTTAGATTATAAATTCTGCTGAGGGTAAGAACTTTATTTGTTTTATTCTAACACTGTACTTGGTACAGAAGCAGATACTTAATATAGGTTTGACAAGCAATTACACTCAAAATCAAGGGAGTGAATAGTGAATATCAATTATTTTTCAACAACTTTTTTTTGTCATGGGGGTCTTGTGTTGCCTAGCTAGCCTCCAACTTGGAATCCTCCTGTTTCAGCTTCCCAAGTAGCTAGGATTAGAGGCCCATGCCGCCAGGCCTGACAACATTTGTGTGTGTGTGTGTGTGTGTGTGTGTATATATATATAAATACTAAGACGAATGATGAATTCAAGGTGAAATAAGATACAAGCTGTTCATAAGAAGATAGACCTATATACAGTTGTAAAACAAGGCAAAAGCAAGATACGTAGTTTTAGTACTTATATTTAAGTCTTTGGTGTATTTGTGAATTTATTTTTGTGTCTGGTGTAATAGGTCCAACTTCATTCTTTACATAACTGTATATCCAGTACCATTTATTGAAAAGACTATTCTTTTCCTCATTGGATTGTCTTGGCAATCTTGCAAAAAATAAGTTGACTATAAATATATGGCCTGGTTCAGTGGTGCACACCTGTAATCTTAGTGATGCAGGAAGTTGAGGCAGGAGGCTCATAAGTTCCAGGCCATCCTGGGCAAATTTAGTGAGACCCTGCTTCAAAAGAGGGCTTGGGAGGGCTTGAGTTGTGGCTCAGCGGTAAAGTGCTCATTTAGCACATGCAAGGCCCTGGATTTGATCCTCAGCACCACATATAAATAAATAAAATAAAGGTATTGTGTCCAACTACAACTAAAAAATATATATTTTTTTAAAGGGCTGGGGATGTAACTCAGTGGTGGATCTCTCTGGGTTAAATCCCTAGTACCACCACTACCAAAAGTATTTGCTCTTCTTATCAGAAATTAATACACAAGGGGGAAAAATGAATACAAAGTGGTCACTGCTAAGTACTATTGGAAATAACTGTAAATTTGAAAGTTGAAGACGATTAATCTTGTCACTATGCAGGTCTAGATTCTGATGCTCCTTGCTGCAGTAATATGCCTAGTGATATCTGGAATATGATTTGGGGCCTAAACAGCCTCAAACTCTGTGAAGATGAGTTCCAGACAGAAGTTGGAGACAAGTTCTTCTGTTTCTGGGAGAAGATTATTAGAAGGTGCCCTGCCTAAAAACTTGCAGGGCAGCACAGCATCACCTCTTAAGGCAATGAAAGAAGAGGCAGTGGTGGAAGGCATTGCCTTGAACTGGCAGTGGGCATGTACAGAGCAAGAAGTTGAGCATCTGCCTGCAGAGCAAGCAGGCCAGGCCCCCAGCCACTTGCCCACCTCATTAAGAAACTGGTCTCTGCACAACAGCCCCATCAGCTCTTCACCTCAGTAAGCCCATCTCCACTGCAACTGCTTCATAGTGATTTCCAGAAGAATTCTTCACCATATTCTTGGCCCTAACTCTAGTTTATTGTCATGCCCAAGTGGGATGGCTCTCTTACTGCAAATTCACCCATAGTCCTCTGGGGAAAAAATGAAATGTCTTATTCAATAGTACCATGGTTTTATGTTTATTATTTGTGTGTGTGTTCCTAGGAATTACACCCAGGGACTTTGGAATACTAAACACAGTGCTGTAACATTGAGCTACAGCCCAAGGTTTTTAAGGACTTTTATTACCTACAACCCTACAACTTTATAGCTTTTGTGTTTTATTAGTATAAATAAGACTTATTTTAAAGTATGATTCTGGTAAATCAATATCCTAAGCAAGAAATTTTCCATGGACAGGTGGGGTGTGTGTATGAGCGTTTTTTTTTAATATTTATTTTTTAGTTATAGGTGGACAAAATATTTTTATGTGGTGCTGAGGATCGAACCCAATGCCTCACACATGGTAGGTGAGCACTATTCCTCTGAGCCCCAGCCCCAGCCCCATGTTTTTTTTTTTTTTTTTTTGACATTTATTTTTTAGTTGTAGTTGAACACAATATCTTTAATTAATTAATTTATTTTTATGTGGTGCTGAGGATCGAACCCAGGGCCTCACCCATGCTAGGTGAGCGCTCTACCACTGAGCTACAACCCCAGCCCTGTATGAGCATTTTAATGATTTTGAAATTTCAAATGCATAGCACTTGAAAATTGTGCAAGGAACTTAGTCCCTTTCACCCAGATTTCCAAATAATAGTTTATTACATTTACTCTTTTGCTCACTGTGGGTGTGTTTGCATGCATGTGTGTGCATCTATCTCTTGTTAATGATCTTTTTCTGGATCTTCTGAAGGCCAAGAAAGCAGTCCAAAAACATGTCTCAGTACTTCTAAACATTTCGCTGTATATTCCCCTAAACAAGGACATTCTCCTTCATAACATCAAACAACCTTCCACTGGAGGAAATCAATAGTGCTACAAGGCTACCATCCAATCTATGGAGTCTGTCCACATTTTGTCCATGGTTTTTTGTTTTTGTTTTTGTTTTTGTACTAGGGATTGAACTTGGGGACACTCGACCACTGAGCCACATTCCCAGTCTTATTTTGTATTTTTACGTAGAGACGGGGTTTCACCATGTTGCTTAGCACTTCACTTTTGCTAAGGCTGGCTTTGAACTTGTGATGCTCCTGCCTTAGCCTCCCCAGCTACTGGGATTACAGGTTTGCGCCACCGCACCTGACTGATTCATGTCTTTTTTTCCTTTATGGTCCAGAATGCTATACAGCAATACATGTTGCTTTTGGCTGTATGTTTCATAGGAATCTTCATCTGGAGAAGTTTCATTTTTCATTTCTGACAGTGTTAGAGTATAGGCCTTGAGCTGAGGATGTAGATCAGTGGCAGAACCCTTACCTAGCATACATGACCTCTATCCTCAGTTCTGACATGGTTGGGGAAAACAGGTCTTACATTCTATGGGATGACTTACCACCTGGGTCCCTCTAATAGAAGGAATACCATTAAAAAGACGCATTGCTTTTTTCAGTGCATCTCACTCATCAGGAGGCACATGAAGTAGAGTCCTCCCCACACTGGTAATAAAACCTCCATATGCTGATTATATGGCTATTTTGATTCATTGTTTTCTCCTCTATAACCGGTTAATATTTCATGGGGAAGAATCCCAGGATCTGCCAATGTCCTTTTCCTTATCAAATTTCCACCCATCAGCCTTAGTATTCATTGAAGACTCATGCTGTATCATCCTTCTTTATAGTGGTTGTCAAATATTCTTTATCATTCTCTCTACACTCCTGGGTTGATATTCTACTGAAAGAATTTTCCTTTCCATTATTTATGCAATTGTGGATTTGCATATTCCTATTTTGTTCAGTGAGTCCATTATTGTCATTTTTTTGCTTTGATGCTTATATTGCCCATAATTTGGTCAACAGGTGTCCCTTCAAGCTGATTCTTTTTTTTTTTTTTTAAATTTATTTATTTTTAATTTTCGGCGGACACAACATCTTTGTTTGTATGTGGTGCTGAGGATCGAACCCGGGCCGCACGCATGCCAGGCAAGCGCGCTACCGCTTGAGCCACATCCCCAGCCCTCAAGCTGATTCTTAACACTCCAACATTTTTAAGTTGTATATATGGTAAGATTCATCCATGTTATGTGTAACTGTAGTTCATTCATTTTGACTACTTCTAAGATGCCATTTTGTGAAGGTACCAATTTATTTTTTAAAAATTTTTAAAATTTGTTTTAATTAGTTACATATGACAGTACAATGATCTTGACATCATACGTTTGAATCAAATGGGATATAATTTCTCATTTTTCTGAGTGTACAGGTTGCAGAATTACATTGGTCATATAGTCACATATATACATACAGCAATACTAGTGTCTATTTTATTCTGCTATCCTTCCTATCCCCCCCTTCTCCTCCCCTTCCCTCCCATCACTTCTCTCTACCCAATCTAATGTGACACACTTCTTCCCCGCCCCTCACATCATCATACATGTAATCTGTATAAAGATGAGGGTCTCCTTTCATCTTCAGATCCAATCCTCCACTGGTGGACACTTTTAGGTTTTGTTGTTGTTGTTGTTTTAGTATTTATTTTTTAGTTGTAGTTGGACACAATACCTTTGTTTTATTTATTTATTTAAATGTGGTGCTGAGGATCCAACCCAGGGCCTTCCACGCGCTAGGAGAGCACTCTACCACTGAGCCACAACCCCAGCCCACTTTAATTGTTGTTACTATCATATTTTTCTATTTCAGCTCTTTAATGCTGAATTTCAAATGTATTAAAAACTTGCATTAGCATTATTTACTTTTGTCTGTTTATTGTACAAATACCAAGCACCTAGAAGCAGAACCATTTACATTCATCAGCAGTCAGGCTTTTAAAATAGTGTCTTATCTTATTGTGTTGTGTTGTGCTGGTCGCGCTCAAAGAGATTCTCCTTCCTCAGTCTCTGCAGCAGCTGGGGTTATTGGTGCCGGCCACTGCGCTTGGCTAAAAACACTCCAAACGTTTTTTTTTTTTTTTTTTTGTACCAGGGATTGAACTCAGGGGAACTTAACCACTGAACTACATCCAGCCTTTTTAATATTTTATTAGAGACAGGGTCTCCCTGAGTTGTTTAGGGCCTTGCTAAATTGCTGAGGCTGGCTTTGAACGGCCTCACCCTCCCGAGCCTCTGGGATTCCAGGCTTCTGCCACCACGCCCGCCTCCAAACATGTTTATTTAATAAAGACTTTAGCTTTTCGTTTTTCTCCCCCATTTATGGAGGAATACTGAAATAAGAGTCAGGAAATCAAAATGGAAAAGTAGACACCGTGTATTTAACTAAAACTTCTGCCAAGTTAAATTGGGAGAGGACCAGATTAGCGAGAGCGCTGAGCTGGCCTGGGGCGCGGACTGCGGGGCGCAGGCGCAGAAACTCACCTAACAACCCTCTCCCTGCTTTCTGGTCTGAAAACTTATCGCGAGTCTTGGAATAAGCTTGTGGCGGTTGCAGAAAATGAGTTCTCGCGACAGTTACTTGGTTGCTATAGTTGTGAAAAACTTAATCTGAACCGCGGCAGGTAAGAATTATTTCTCTGCTGATAACCCTCTCTTCACGACGTCCACGTCCTGGCCGTGCACCACACTACACCCGGACACCCCAATCTTCTCTCTCCGCTAAGGCCAGGCTTAAAATTCGGTACAGACCGAAACTCTACCGACCCCCCCACCCCAAGAACGGACTCTGGCGTCACCGCAGCACCCCCTCCCGGGGGCGGGCGAAGGTCCTGCTGCAGCTCTGCTGGAGATTGACCCTTAACGCTACTGCGCGGGTTCCCAGACCAGAACCTGTCACAGCGCTTCCTTCGTCTCATCTGTTTCCAATTCAACCCTTGCCTTGCAGATTCTGATCAGATGACAAAAAATGGGTGACTTGTTGGGGGCAACAAGAGCCTAGGCCCACTTCACCTGACCACAACTTGTAATTAGTCCGATTTCTTTCCTTCATTATTCGGATATGCCGCGAAAGATACCTTGTGTACCAAGCATGTAGCCAGGCACTCAGGGGTTCTGAATATAACTAAGGTTGCTTGTCTTCAAGAGTGTAATTGAGCTTTCAAAAAAAGCTGGGCATATTAATAATGCCATTCGTGCTGTGCCTCATAGGGTAAACAGTTTTATTGTTTTACGGAATATTCACAACAAAGGTGAAACAAATAGAAAGTTATTCATTTTACAGAAAGTGAAAACTAAGACCCAAAGAAGTTACGCATTTGCCCAGGGTCATGTAGTTATTAAGTAAGAAAGATCTTTTAAATCTCCAGTCCTGCGGTGGGGTTGTAGCTCAGTGGTAGCGCTTGCTTAGCTTGTGTGAGGCCCCAGTCCTCATAAACAAGACAGCTTGTGATACATGTCACAAGAAATGTATAAAGTTCTAAAATAGTGGGGACAGGGAAACGTTAGAGTAGGAGGCATTTGAGCCATTTTTGTCAATATAGAGATGGAATGAGGGAAAAAAGAGGGGTAGTTCCAGAGGAAGAAAAGAGGCAAAGGTACAAATGACTAAGTGCAGGTAATCTTTGAAAAGGACTAGGCCAGAGCATAGGCTAGGTGAGGGGACTTTGGTACTGCTGGAGCCTAGAGGGCTTTGAATATAATGTCACAGTTTTATTTGGTAGATGAGAGGATACAAGTGATAATCATTAGATATTAGATCTGTACTTTAATATGGTATTTATCTGCTTGTCTTTTTTTTTTGTGTGTGTGTGTGTGTGTGGCCATGGGGTACCAGAAATTGAATTCAGGGCACTTGACTACATCTGGAGACACAATTTTGTATTTTATTTATAAACAGGATCTCACTGAGTTGCTTAGCGCCTCACTGTTGCTGAGGCTGGCTTTGAACTCATGATCCTCCTCCTTCAGCCTCCCAAGCTGCTGAGATTACAGGTGTGTGCCACTATGCCCATCTCTGTTTGTCTCTTTGATCTCATTTTCTCTGTATTATTCAGTGGTACAAGCTACTGAGCTACTTGACTAACTTTCTTTCTTCCTTCCTTTCCCTCTGAATCTTTTACAGTCTTCTTTCTGCTTGGAACAGCTTTCATTTTTGTCTGTTCTTTTAGTTCCAGGTCACCTCCTACAAGGAGATTTTCCTGGCATGCACACTCATGCATATACTTTCAAATCCAGCTAGGTTCCAGCTTCAGCACTTTCTTTCTGTATGATGGGCTGCTAAATAACAAACTTGTCTGAAGCTCAGTTTCTTGTTCTCTAAAATGGCAATTTAAGAGTCACTTGGAAGAATGGATACATATCAGATAACATATGTAATGCCCTTGGCACATTTGGCATATAGTAGGCCATAATCAACAGTTAGTTTCCACCTGTAATCCTAGCAGCTTGGGAGGCTGAGGCAGGAGGATCACAAGTTCAAAGTCAGCCTCAGCAACTAAATGAGACCCTAAGCAGTTTAGTGAGACCCTGTCTGAAAGTAAGAAATTAAAAGCTGGGGATGTGACTTAGTGGCTATGTGCCCCTAAGTCAACCCCCAGAACCCCCCCCCCCCGCCAAAAAAAAAAAAAAACAGCAGTTAATTTCCTTCCCCCTTTCCTCACCTATGTCCCCTTCCCCCACTTTACTATTCTTTTGTCACAGTATCCATTACACAGACTATAAAACTCTTAGCCTATTTATGTCTCTCCTTCTCACTAGATCTTAAATTCCTTGAGGTTAGGGAGTGTACATCTCATCTCTTGTATTTTCAGCATCTATTACTGTGCCTGCCATAAAAAATATTTGCTCAATTAATGATTTTGACAGAAATGGAATGGAATAGAATTTTTAAAAAATGGAGTCAGAGATACCAGTTAAGAGGCTTTTGTTATAGTCTAGCAGAAGGGAAAATAAGTTTTAATTTATATGGTACTATTATAAAAGAAAGAAAGGGACTAATACAAAATGGCATTTTAAATGTATACTTAATAAGGAAATTGCCGATGCCACTTAGGCCCTGAAAGAGCCCAGAGATGTGATTTTTGAACAAATGATCTGAAACTTTAGGCAACTGGAAAAATGAGGGAGTAGCTAGGAAGAGACAGAATAATTGTAACATCTGAAGGGTGCAAGGAGTCCTATATTGTTTTTATCACCAGCCCTGGATAAACTTGGCATCGTATGTCCTTAGCAAATGTTTGAATTGCATAAATAAGCTCCTCCTTGAATAGAAAACATGACCTTAAAAAAAACTGATATACAATCTGCTTTTGAAATTATGTCCTTAGTATTGTAAAATAATTAAAAATATATATCTGGCTAGAGACATGTCAGGATCTTTTCCAAAGGATTATCATTTTATGATAGGGTATATTTCTTGCTCTCAAAGTATATTTTTGTAAAACAGAAATAAATCTTTGAGATGGCTTTACAGATTGAAAAAAAATTACCAAAGATCATTGTGAAGAATATGGGGAATGGGAGATGGGGAGATAGTGTACCTACTCTCTGTTTCATGATAATTTGTACATTATACATTAGTTGTATGTATAAAGAATATTTTAAACACTAACCAGTGGAATTATGATTGTGACCAGCTTCCCTGAAGCACTTCTTATCCAGCCTTGAAAGTTAGGAAGGGGAAAACAGAAGGCATATTCTTAGGTTCTCCCCCGGTACAGGTCATGATGTAATGAGGGGACAGTTTCATTTATTTTCTTTACAGAGACCAAAGGAGAACAGAAGAACTTTGCCCAATTACTGATATGGAACAGGTGCCAACAGGAGGTAGACTGGTGCAGATCACTGTGACAGATGGATATGATTTGGTAAAGTTTCTTTTGGAAATGTGCAAAGTCCCTAGTTGGGGAATATCAAGGGAGGAATGGAGTTTTTTTTTTTTTTTAGATGTTGATGAAACTTTATTTTATTAATTTATTTATATGCGGTGCTGAGAATTGTACCAAGTGCCTCACGTATGCTAGGCAAGCGCTCTACCACAGAGCCACAACCCTAGCTCAGGAATGGAGTTTTTGTGTCATTTTGTACCTCCAAACTCCCTCCCTTTGCATAGCAATTTCATCCTCGGTGTTTCTTATTTGTAATCTATAATCAGCAAGTCACATTACATTACTATGTGTCTAAAATACCTAGCTCAGTGGTAAAGTGCTTGCCTGGCATATGTGAGGCACTGGGTTCAATCCTTAGCACCACATAAAAATAAATAAAAATACTGTGTGTTCATTTACAACTAAACATTTTAAAATATAAAATAAAATACCTGGCAATTTGAGTACTAAATTTATCAGAGTTGAATCAAGATTAGCTTTAGTTTTTGCGGCTAGCAGTTCATATATTAATTTTCCCCCTTTATTTTGAGAAGGATCTGAATTCTGAGTTTCATTTGTGATTAATTTCCTTTGGTGAATTTAAATAATAAAACCACAGTTACTATTTAAAAGTAGGAGAATAGACTGGGCTTGGTGGCTCACACCTCTAATCCCAGCCACTTGGGAGCCGGAGGCAAAAGAATTGCAAGTTGGAGGCCAGCCTGAGCAATTTAGTGAGACCCTGTTTCAACATAAGGTTTAAAAAACAAGTTTGGGGTATAGCTTAATGGTAGAGCCTAGCATTTGTGGGACTATGGGTTCAATCCCCAGTACTGAAAACAAAATTAAGAGAATAATGAAAAAATATTCAGGATTATGAACTTTAAAAAGCTTGTTCCAAAAGAGGATATAATTAGTAAACTCCACTTGTTTTAAAATGTGTGTATAAAAATGTGTATTTACAGCAAAATACTAAAATATACTAATGTATTAATAATGCTTACATGTTACAGTAAGATTATAGGCAATTCATTTTCCTCTGATTTTCTCATTTTGCCAGTGTTGGTGATTGAACCCAGGCCTTCTGCACACTAAGCAAGTGCTCTATTACTAAGCCACATTGCCAGCCCCCCACAATATACTTTTAAAGTCAGACAAAACACAATAAATGTTATATTAAAAAACTTTAATATAGGCTGGGGCTGGGGCTCAGTGGTAGAGCACTTGCCTACCATACATGAGGCACTGAGTTCAATCCTTAGCACCACATAAAAATAAACAAAATAAAGGCATTCTGTCCATCTACAACTACAAAAAAATTTTAAAACTTTAATGATATTTAAATGGAATATTACATTTAGCTATAAATAAATTTGTTTAATGATTTTCTACTTTCCCTGTTTTTGTGATATAACTTGTTAGGGAAAAGAAGAAGAAAAGAAAATGATATTTATCCTGAGTCAAAATGGGTTGTCAAATGTGTAGGAAATGTCTCTATTTGAATTTAATTATAAAGTGATGTTTCTGCCAACAGAAAGGTTACAAAGGAGATACTCCAGTTACTTTTGTTCGAGCGGAATTCAATCAGGTGACTCTGGGAGACTCTGCAAAAATTACTGTCTCTTCAGAGGGAACTGCAAAGTACAACTTCACTAGCAGTTTTGAGTTCAATCCTGAAGGAGGAATCACTTTGAATGACCTCGCTCACAATCCTGTATTCTGTAAGTCCTTGTGATTCTAAAAAATGTTAGTTATATGAGTATTATATGAGAAGATTCTGAGACACCTAATAGGTGACAGTTGAATATGCCTTATTCCCTGACTTTAAGAATAATGAAATAGGGGCTGGGGATGTGGCTCAAGCGGTAGCGCGCTCGCCTGGTGTGCATGCAGCCCGGGTTCTATCCTCAGCACCACATACAAACAAAGATGTTGTGCCTGCCGAAAACTAAAAAATAAATATTAAAAAATTTCTCTCTCTCTCTCTTTCTCTTAAAAAAAAAAAGAATAATGAAGTATACTTTGAGTCCTGTCTGATTTGGCAACAGTCACCAGGACCTATTAATTTAATCAATTTTAATCAAAAACCTTTGACATCTGACTGAATTTTGCAGTCTTTATCCTCTACATAGAGTTGAGATTCCCTCTCCTTTGTATTCCTTTATTTAAGGTTGCCAAACTTAGAAAAAAGTGGGGGAAAAAAGCAAAATATGTGTCATACTTATACTTAAAAATTATTCATTGTTTATTTGAAATTTAAATTTAACTGGGCATCCTATATTTTATCAGGCACCTATATCTGTTCTTTTGTAGTGTAGCCATTATTCATTTGCCTTTCTTGCTAGAGTAGGTGCTTTTGAAATCAAGATTGAACTCTCAGTATTTTTAGACTTTCTAGTGCATCCCTTTGTTGAAAGAATGAAAAAGAGGGATGGATGGTTAATATATCCTTTCTTCCTTACCTTTATGATTTCAAAATGTGCAGTATTGTCCCTGTTGTAATGTCTTGTATCTGTTTACTAGTCTAAAACTTTTTTGGTTTTGTTCTGTTTTAATCTGTTATCTTCTTTCATTTTGTAATTTTTTAATTACACCTCTGGGATGCCTTCTGGAACCCAGATTCCAAGATCCCCAAACTTAGATGAGAACTGGAAATGTATATAGTATTCTAGATTTTCAGTATTCTGATCCTGTATCTTTCTTTCCATAAGAATTACTTGGGGCTGTGGGACCACATCTTCAGGTCCCCACATCAGAGCACCAAATTCATAATTGTTAGAGGAGGAGTCTAAGAAATCAGTCACCATTTGATCCACACTCTCTCCCAAGTATCTTCTTCTCTCTTTGTTCTGTGTTTCTTTGCAATCCCAAATAGGAGGAGTAATTCTGATTGCATTCTTCACAAGTATGTTGGATGGGAAAAACAGAACTGAATATTCTTTTTGTGCAACCAGAGACACTGGGCACCATGGTGCACCCTTGTAATATTAGTGCCTGGGGAGGTTGAGGAAGGAGGATTCCAAGTTCAAGGACAGCCTTAGCAACTTAGTGAGATGGTGTTTCAAGATTAAAAAATGAAAAGGACTGGGTATGTGGCTCAGTGGTAAAACACCACTGGGTTTGAAACCCCACCCCCCAAAAAAACGGAAAGAGAGAAAAATACAAAGAAAGGGAAACCCCTTTGTTCACAGAAGCAAAGCAAGAATTAACACCTGGGAAACTTGAACAGCTGCCATCGATGTATAAATGGTGGTGGTGTTGGTGTTGGGGGAGAGGGCAGTACTCTAAAACCTACGGGCTTGGGTTTTAATGCTCTTACAAGGACAAAAAATCTTGGACTGCTACAGATGAAGAGTTGAGACTGACACCTCCCTACCACAAGCTAAGACTCCTAAAAAGAACGGTCTAGGGAAAAAATAAATTGGCTCTCCGTTATCTCTAAAATAGAAATGAGCCTCCCTTAAGAATTAGTAGTTGTAGGCTTGTGCCAGCTATTAAAGAACATATTTTGGAGCTGGGGTTATAGTTCAGTGGTAGAGTGCCTAACACATGTGAGGCATTGGGCTTGATTTTCAGTACCACATAAAAATAAAATAAAGGTATTATGTCCATCTAAAACTAAATATATATATATATATATATATAAAGATATATAATTATTATTTTTTCTCAACACTGATTTTATTCCTTAAAATACACAGGAACATTTAGGAACACACAAGAAACATACTAAAAACTGGCCACATTATAGGCTGTAAATCAAGTCCTACCAACTACCAAAGAATCTTAGCAGATTAATCTTAACAGACTAAGTTTTCTGGCCAAAATACAACAAATAAGAAAATTAGAAATCAATACAAAAAAGATTTTTTAAAAAATCCACATGGAAATTTAAAAACACTCATGAATAATTCATGTGACAAAGAAGAAATCATTATATAAATTGCAAAGCATTGTCAAAACTTGTAGAAGGGCAGGGGTTGTAAGTTGGTGGTAGAGACTTGTTTACCATGCATGAGGCCCAGCACCACAAAACAAAACCCGTGAGATATAGTTAATGTGGTAATTAGAAGTACCTTAATAATTTTTAGTGTGTTCATTAGAAATCAAAAAGAATTTAAAACAGAGCTTCTTCTGAGAAGATGGAATAGATGTATTTTTCTATATTCCTCCTACTAAGTACAACTCAAAATGAATAATTTATATAAAACAAGCATAAGAGACTCTGAAAGGTAGAAAGAAGAAACCTTGAAACTGAGGAATGACATAATGGTGAATTCCTTAGATTTTCTTTTTGCCTTATGTATGTCCCGGACTTGGTGCTGGAGAAGTTGGCAAGCTAGAAAAACCAATGGGTATAGATATTTTTTATTTTTTATTGTATTTAGAGAAAGATAGAATTTTTTAATATTTATTTTTCAGTTTTCGGTGGACACAACATCTTTATTTTATTTTTATGTGGTGCTGAGGATCGAACCCGGCACTCTGCGCATGCCAGGCGAGCGCGTTACAGCTTGAGCCACATCCCCAGCCCCTATAGATGTTTTTTAAAAGCCTAATAAAATTTTGCTCTTTCCAGTCAAAACACCAGGAAAGGGGAAGCCTAATAAGACAACTTTTAGGCAATAACTGCTTTTTTCCAGCCAAGTACTCCAGGAAAAAATGGCTTTCTTCTCAACCCAAGCTGAGTGGGAAGTCTAGACTACCACCATCACAAAGCAGTAATAAGGTACCCAAATACCCTTGTGGTACCAGAGAAGACCAAATAGGGAGCCAGAACTTCATCTTCTTTGGCAATAGTCTTCTCCCTGTTTCGTCCTGCTCCCCCACCCTCACCTTCGTGGTCAAGACCACATTGAGGACCTTGTGCTTATAAACTGTCATTAACAAAGTATCCCTCTACTCTACTGGGGTGATGTCAGAGGAGGCCTAGTACAGGTTCAGAACTTTCATTATCACCTAGGGTTAAAGAGTCCACAACCACTGCAGGATCTGTGATAACCAAATAAGGAAGTAGAACTCCTGATTCCTCCTCGGCAGTAATAATGAGCTGCCTCCCTTAGGTGTCAATGGAGGCTGAGTTGGGAACTGAGAATTCTACTCCCACTTAGCAATAAGGAAGCAGCACCTTCTCCCCTTTTTTTCTTGAAACTTAGACAAAGCTAGCTAAAACAAAAGATCCAGAGTTTTTACAAAGATTCAGAGTTTCAGTACATAATAGAAAAAGTCCAGGTTTCAACTGAAAATCATGGTATCCAAGAACTGGAAGATCTCAAACTGAAATTAAAAGGCAGTCAGTAGATGCTAACACCAAGATAACAGATATATTAGAATTGTAAGACAAGGATTTTAAAGAAGCTGTGATCAAAATGCTTCAATGAGGGCTGAGGCTGTAGCTCAATGGTAGAGCACTTGCCTAGCATATGTGAAGCCCTGGGTTCGATGCTCAGCACCACATAAAAATAAATAAATAAAGGTATTGTATCCAACTACAACTAAAAATAAAAAATAAAAATATTAAAATGAGCCAGGCATGGTGATATTGATCAATGCAGCAACACCATTTGACAAAATCCAATACCAATTCACAATAAAGTAGTTGGGCTGGGGTTGTGGCTCAGCAGTGGTGCACTTGCCTAGCACAAGTGAGGCGCTGAGTTTGATCCTCAGCCCCACATAAAAATAAATAAATAAAGGTATTGTGTCCAACTACAACTAAAAAAAAAAAAAAAATATATATATATATATATATATATATATATATATATATATATATATATAAAAATATGAATAGTTTTAACTTTTTCAACTTGATAAAGACTGAAATTACACTTAATGGTGAAAGAACGAATGATTTCCAAGATCAGGAATAATTCAAGGATGTCTGTTCTCACTATTCTAAATTCAACATGGAATTGGAAGTCCTAGACGATGCAGTGAGATCTGGGAAGAAATACAAGGCTTACAGATCTGAAAAGAAGAAGTAAAAATACTGCTATTTGCAGAGGAAATGATGATCCATGTAGAAAAAATATACCAAGGAATCTACAACACTTAAAAAATAATAAATGAGTTAAACAATATCACAGGATAAAAGAATGTGCAAAAATCAATTATATTTCTGTATACTTGTTATAAATATTGACATCAATATTTATAACAATAAATATTGTTATAATACTATTTTGTAATTGCCTTAAAATTTAGTGTAAAATGCATATATAGGTCTTTTAAAAATTTTTTTGTGGTTGTAGATGGACAGAATGCCTTTATTTTATTTGTTTATTTTTATGTAGTGCTAAGAATGGAACCCAGTGCCTCACACATGCTAGGCAAGCACTCTGCCACTTAGCTACAGCCCCAGCCTCATGTATAGGACATTTATGCTGAAAACTAGACACTGCTAATGCATGAATCATAGAGGATCTAGATAAATTGATATATGGTGTATAGAACTGGAAGACTGTACATATTTAAGGTATTAGTTCTTCCCACATTGATATATGGATTGAATATCATTCTTCTCAAAAATCCCAGCAAGATTTTTGTAGATATGGAAAAGATTATTCTTCTTTAAAAAATACTTTTAGTTGTAGATAGACACTATACCTTTATTTTATTTATTTATTTTAATTTGATGTTGAGGATCAAACCCAATGCCTCATACATACTAGGCAAGTATTCTACCACTGAGTTACAACCTCAGCCCCTGGAGAGGATT